CTATCGATACTCAATTGGGGAGGCGGGGAGAAAGGAGAGGGGTGTGTCTCACGTCAGACCAGGAAAGGGTGATACAAACACCCATTCTCAGCTTATCCACTCGATTGTGACGTTTACTCTCATCACCACTCCCTCGATTCGTTTAACGCCTCTGCTTTCACTGTGTAGCTTGTTAAAGAAAAAAAGCAAGACCTTTAAGCAATGCCAACTCTGCCACCCCCAAACCCTGTAAGAGTCTGTGTAAACCATAAAGCAGTAAAGAGAATGTTAATAAGCCCTTTTTTATGATTAACAGCCGCAGAACAGGGAAATATTCAATAATTATGGGCATGGAATGTGCAATAAGATGAAATGAGAGAGAGAGAGAGAGAGAGAGAGAGAGAGAGAGCGCCATTACAGAAAATGCTTTACTAGCTGTAAATTAATTCAAATTGTAAGGATTTTTGGAACTTGGGTGCTGTTGTTTTGTTTTTTAAAGGAAAAAACCAAAAACAGTGTGCCAATTCTTAGAATGAGAAGAAGCTCCCATTACTGCCAATGGAAGCTTTTTAAAAGCCTGATTAATGCAGGCATGTGATATTTTCAGGGGAGGGGTGTAACTGGGGAGGCAACTTCTAACCCTTCCCTCCCTATGCGTTGCAACCTCTCTGCTGTAAATTACCCCCCTCCTGTGCAACAATTGGGCTTGAAAAAGCCTAACATATCCAATATGCGGTTGAGCACCTGCTCTCATCATTCCAGTTACATCACGGCCACAGGAACCAGGGTTGCCAACTGACCGTGGGGAAAGCAGCCCAGTTTGCCCGTCTGCCTTTAGCGGCAGCTTTGATGAGCAGAAATCGGTGGGTGAAGGTTTCCTGAGCATGTAGAGATAAACACAATCAGCCACAGATGTCTGCATAGCAAGCTGGGCCTTAGGGGCCTGTTCAACTGTTGGTGGCCCTAAAAGAAATTCATTGAAAGGGGAAATGTGTTATGCATCATAGAGGAATAACCGGACTCAGAGAGCAATCCAGGACAGCGCAAGCGCCACATTCTCTTATGGGGGCTGAATACCAGTGGTGAACACGGCTAGGGGCAAAAAGTGCAATGTATGTGACTCTTCCCTTTGGAGAGGAAGAAGAAAAGTTTGGATTTGATATCCCGCCTTTCACTCCCCTTAAGGAGTCTCAAAGCGGCTAACAATCTCCTTTCCCTTCCTCCCCCACAACAAACACTCTGTGAGGTGAGTGGGGCTGAGAGACTTCAAGAAGTGTGACTGGCCCAAGGTCACCCAGCAGCTGCATGTGGAGGAGCGGAGACGCGAACCCGGTTCTCCAGATTACGAGACTAGCGCTCTTAACCACTACACCACACTGGCTCTACAGGAGGCTACATACACCATACAGAGGTTTCTTAAAAACACCTCTCTTCATCCAGGCGAGCAAGAAGCATTATAACAGTTCAGGCCAAGCAAAACCACACAAGGAGAGAGTGGAATGGGATTGGTGAGAGGTGTGGCCTGGTGAGAGTCCTGAGGGCCGGAAAGGGAAGCCTAGAGGGCCACATTTGGCCTACGGGTCTGATGGTCCCCACTCCTGCCACAAGTAAGCCCCATTGCATTCCAGAGGGATTATTATTACTAAGCAAGTGCAACCTGAACCATCTAATGTAAATCTGCTCTGGAGATTTGGGAGAAGCCCAGGAACAGATTTTGGGGTCACAGAGGTTTAGGGAAGTACCAGTGCATAGCTAAAACTCCTTGTACCGGTGGAACTGTTTAGTTGGCTATGTCCCTATATTTTTATAACAAGATTGAAGTTTTTAGTTCTGTCAGTTCTGTGAAGGCACTTGCATTCCAAACCTTCATTTCAAAGTCAAGCTAATTCTTCTAGACAGATTGCCTTCTGGAAATGGAGCAATAGAATCTAGGATTCTCTCTCTCTCTCTCTCTCTCTCTCACACACACACACACACACACACACACACACACAATGCCAGGGCCTCTGTGACTTTAACAGAAATTCAACAGGTGCCAACTTTTCCTGGCACTGAGATACAGAGATGGGTAAAGTTGCAGCTGTTGATACTTTTTTTTCCTGCTGCAAAGCCGTTAAAATGTTTTTCATTTATACATTCCTCATGTCTTACATTAATGGCAACTCTATCCACACACTCAACATTTGGAGAATGCAAAATCTTGTCAGAGATTTTGGCTGAGTGGTGTGAAACCTGTCCAAAGCAAATTTTGAGAAGAAATGCATGGAAAACAACTATTCCACCCCCAAATTGGAGAATGCCTTCTATTTCTGAGCAAACACCAAATCTTCCAGTTTTATAACCACAGAACTTCAGAGTAAACCTATGTGGACAACAGTGACATTCTGAAATTTGTCAGAACTGTCTGCCACTCTCCAAATTAAATCTCGGGGGTCCGATTCCTTTTTCTGTTAGTACGTGCATTTGGGGAGTCACTTAGGGCTTTAAAAACTATTGTGAGCTGCATCCTCAGTGTGTCAGGTGAGCCGTTCTGCTGTGCTCGTCACCATTGTCACAGTGTGCTCCGCTTACCTGAACACTACTAGCTCCTAAAGTCAATACATACTGAACATTTGTTTCTATATGTGTATAAGTTTATGGATTGATTAATTGTGCAACTGACAGTTTTGTGAGATGTGTAGCCCAGCTTTCCATCAGCATGCACAAGGCAGCTAACAAAAGTACGACTGAGCAAAACAAAAATTCAGCACAAATTTATAGCAAACATAAGACTTGTTTTGGTCAAGTGCAGAGTATGGGTTTTTGATAAAATCTGTGGATTTTTGTATTTTATTGCACCCTGGAAACTGAGCATAGGAATTAATGATTTAATGTATTAGTTTCCAAACACATATTTTTCCAGTGAGGCCCTGGTTTAACTGAAGAAGGGCTGGGCATTTGAAGAACTTTTAAAAGGAAATATGTGGACTATATATATCCACAGAATCTAAAATTTTAGATTAGGATTTTCTCCTGCCCCCAGAAGTATCCATAAAATTGCTGTCTTTCTTCATAATATGAAGTATGTCTCTAAATGCTGGTTTTAAACTCCTGTACTCTTCAGAAATTTTAGTGTGCGAAAGTTTAACCGTGTTTGTTTACTTTCACTTACCAGCTGTATGAACTCTGCGTGTCTGGAGGTCTAAGGGGCTGCTCTGGAAGAGAGACATTTTCATTTGCTAGTGCATTAAGTAAAACATTATGATATCAAATATAATAATAATAATTTCTTTGAATAAATAGCCCGTAAGTAAAGGAAGCAAGTCAAGAAGTCATGTTGGAATAATAATTTTATTGCTTCGCCGATTGCACAAATGCAATGCCGATCGTATTTCTGAATCACAAATGTATAAACAGTGTTTTTCCCTACTAAATGTCAAGTGCAAAGTGTTGGGTTACAACCTAAGCAATGTAATTGCTTTATGACACACAGCTGTTTCTGCAGTTTGAGGGCAACAGCTCACCACAGGAGGGTTTTTGAGCAGACACTATTGGTGACAACAAAGGATGGACCTTGACATGTGGGTTTCAATATACTGATGAATTGATGTGAAGCTGCCTTATCTTGATTGATCCTTGAAGCCTAGCTGCATAGTGGGAGATTTCAGGACAGACAAAAAGAAGTAACTGCTTCCCCCAGAGCTCTTGTTCAGTGGTAGAGCACCTGCTTTGCATGTAGAAGACCCCAAGTTCCTCCAAATAGGGTTGGGAGAGTCCCTAGTCTGAAATCCTGGAGAGCAGGATGGAGCAATGGTGTTAGTTCAGATGTTGGTCAGCACACAAGAAGCAGAGATGGTCAGTGTACAACTCCGCAACCCTCCTGGCAGGACTTGCCCTGGAAGAACAGTTGCCAGGATTGACGGTCTCCACCTTCCACCCCTTTTAAGGCTCCTCCTCTGCCAGATATTTTGCAAGCAGCCTCAAACTTCACCTGGGCACCTGTAATCTCTGTTCCGCTCTATGGACCCTTTGTGTCCTTGGAAAGGGAGATTGTCGCAGAAGGAGAGGCAGGTTCCCGGGGTCCTTCTGCAGCCTCTGCCCCCTCCTCTGCCTCAGCCTCTGAGTCTGAATGGCTCCCTGTCACCAGCTTACTTTGCTCACAAAAGCCTGTTGCCCCTTCAGCATCCAGCCCCTTCTCCCACCCTTCTCCCTGTGACCTCTCCTCGGTGTCCCACCACCATATGGGGCCTCACAAAACCCAACAGTAATAAATTAAATTAAAAAGCCACCCATTTGACTGTTCATGATGCCTCGAATCAGCTGCTTCACTCTAATGATAGAGCCAGATCTGCCTAGAATCTTTCACTTAATGTCTGTCACATCCTTTCCCTTCTGTTTCCTTCAGTTCTTCACAACCACCCGTCTTTATTCACCTGTTGCTGATTTTCCTAACACGCGACATGATTTCATCTATTAATCATCTGCATTTAAATAGCCCCAAACTCCACATGTAAAGAACTCTACTTGCCTGTTTTTTTGTTTTTGTTTTTTAAGGGATGAAAAATAAACCCGCATTCTCCGCTGTAGCCACAAAACTCCCGTTGAAGCTGCTTGAGTAATTGATGGCATAAGTAGGTCTGCTGAGTTGATATTAGAATAATGCTTGGATAAATAAACGGAACGTTTTGGTGCTTTGTAATCAAAACTAAACCCTGCACTACAGGAAAATAGAGAGTCAAAAGGTTCTTGAAGGCCGAAGACAGACAAGTTTTGCTTTCATGGTATGTAATCTAATATCCTTCCCCAAAGCTCAACAATAACTATATGTTTGCTTAACCATTTCACCAGGGCCTCTGTTTCCTCTGTGACAGGGATGTCCTGGCCATGCAACCTGGAGGAATTTTGAGGAAACAAGGTGCTTGCTCCTAACACCCCGCCCCCCCCATCCAAAGTGGGATGGAGGATTAGCCTTTGTTCAAATAAGAAAGAGAATTTATTTGCACAAGCAAGCCTCTCAAGAGCACTTTACTTTGAGGAATGTCATTCACTGTAGCCTCAAAGTGATCTCTCCTTTACATGAGTCCCCACCCCTCCTATGCGTTCTGCGAGGGGATTTCTGTGTCACCAGGAACAAAGACTTGTGCAAGTAGGGATAGGGAGGGGCCAGACATTCATGGGTGTTCATCGCTCAGCGAGCGCAACATCATATGAAACAGCAATTACAAGTCACGCAGCATGGCTGGATTTTCTGATCCACCGACCAATCGCTTTCAACAGCATTCAGCTGGGAGGGAGAGAGGTTTGAGGAATTCAGACTTCGTGAATTATGGTACAAGCTGACTAGATCTGGATGTCCTGATCAGGCCTTGTTCGTCTGTTGGTTTTCAGGGTTCCCCAATATTCTGATGCAGCTCACAGCTTGAAAGATGTATCAAAATACATTTTTAAATGCATATTTCGAGAGAAAACACATTTAAAAATATGTATTTAAATATGTTTGTGTGTTTCTATGTAGTTTTTTTAAAAAAAGAAATGTTTGTTTGCTCTTACCACCCTCAAAGTAGTGTTTCTTTCTGAAAGACAGTGGGAGACCACCCCAGGGGTTACACTTGTGTGTAGCCTATACGTATTGCCTTAGCTGCAATATGTGCGTAATAATATTGATGTATCTTTCAGGGCTGCTGTGCAGATTACAGAAAGAAAGTGCACATGAAATGCTTTGACCACCTTATTGCTATATAAAAATGCTAATGTTGATACTAATTGTTATTAGGAAAGTCATTCCAAAAGTTGCAACTGCTCGGATACCTCCAGACAGACAGTACTCATGAGAGGGATTCTAGTGCATACCGTCACGTCAGGTTTGTGCAATGAAAGCAGATTCAAGCTTTCAACAGGAATATGCATTGAAAAGTGTGGGATGAATGGATGAATAACTGGAAAGTGTATAAACACCCCATGAACAAATCAGGATGAATGATCATGGTCATAGAACCACCCTGCAAAAAAAAGGGGAATGACTGCTCCAGAAAGACTCTGTCCAGTGAAGTTGTCCTGTTGGCGCATTGACATCCGCCTGCACAATGGGGCTTCCTCTTTCCATGCCCCCACCTCCCACTCCCCAATTTGTTCTGGATTCTCCCCAACCCACACGGGGGAGAGGAAGTCCAGTTGAGCAGGTGGACGATTTCATTGGCTCCAACCCATAGTCTAACAACCCCAAAAGCTTTGTGGAAGCAAGCCAGACTGAATGCTAAATAAACAGTCTGATGGAGATGCTACAAATGCTCACTAAAAATTATGATGTAAAGGTGGATGATGGGGTGGGGAAAATTGCACCTCCCACCTATGTATGATTTAGAGCAGTGGTTCTCAACCTGTGGGTCCCCAGATGTTGTTGGACTACAACTCCCATCATCCCTGAGCTCTGGCCTTGCTAGCTAGCGGTGGTGGGAGTTGTAGTTTAACAACATCTGGGGACCCACAGGTTGAGAAAGGCTGATTTAGAGCATTTGCTTCTCCATGGCCCCCGGACAGTGCCCTATGGAAACACACTTTCACAGAAGCAAGTGTATGGGGAGAAGAAATGTACCTGCATTTCTGCTTTTCGTTGCTTCCTGTAATATGCAAAAAAAGAGAGATCTCATCAACAACACAGCAGGAAGAGACACGACATCCAGGTTCATGTGGAGCAGATGTGCATTAACCCCAAGGGAGATCTGCAAGTCCTCCCTCGCTTTCCATGTAACACAACAGGTGGTGGCAGTGCTGTTTTTCTAAAAAAAAAAAAGTTTAGGGGTACTCTCATTTTGACTCAAGAAAATCACCATTTTATAGTTCAAATCGGGGAAAATAAATAGAGTAAATGGACAAAAGTACAAAGATTCGCAAAATGTTTAGGGGTATGCGTACCCCTGCGTCCCCCCAGAAAAAAAGCACTGGGTGGTGGAAAGCAGAGCCATGAGCACACATTTGCATCTTGCTGTTCTTGCAGGGTACAAAACCATCCCAAGTCACACAATGACCTGGTTCAGACATAACAACAAACCATGGGAGGACTGGACCTCAGTGCGTATTTTGTATATTACAGAAGGTCTCAGGTTCAATATCTGTCATCTTCAGGTAAGGCTGGGAAATGTCCATGTCTGAAGACATAGAGAGCAGGTCTGAGTCAATTTAGATGATGCTTAAGTTACATGGGACCAATGGCATTAACTTGATATAAGGAAACTTCCTATAATACATTCTTTTTAAAATTTATTTATGCATTTTTTCATATACATTTTTCATCCTATCATGGTCTCTGTATAAACTTCCCAACCTAGCTTTCCTTGACATCCTATTGTATCTTCTGTTGGCTTGCTGCATTTCCCTTTATTATTTATTCTGTTCTCCTTCCATTCATATTCCTTTTGTTTTATCTACTGCTGTTCATAGAGTCAGCCCTACAAGTTGTTCCCCCCCCATGTTCCATTCCTATTCCACACACGTCCCTATTCCTATTTAGGAGTAAAGCACATGTATTAAGTCATAATCATAGAATCATATCATAGAATCATAGAGTTGGAAGAGACCACAAGGGCCAGCGAGTCCAACCCTCTGCCAAGCAGGAAACACCATCAGAGCACTCCTGACATATGGTTGTCAAGCCTCTGCTTAAAGACCTCCAAAGAAGGAGACTCCACCACACTCCTTGGCAGCAAATTCCACTGTCGAACAGCTCTTACTGTCAGGAAGTTCTTCCTAATGTTTAGGTGGAATCTTCTTTCTTGTACTTTGGATCCATTGCTCCGTGTCCGCTTCTCCGGAGCAGCAGAAAACAACCTTTCTCCCTCCTCTGTGTGACATCCTTTTATATATTTGAACATGGCTATCATATCACCCCTTAACCTCCTCTTCTCCAGGCTAAACATGCCCAGCTCCCTTAGCCGTTCCTCATAAGGCATCGTTTCCAGGCCTTTGACCATTTTGGTTGCCCTCCTCTGGACACGTTCCAGTTTGTCAGTGTCCTTCTTGAACTGTGGTGCCCAGAACTGGACACAGTACTCCAGGTGAGGTCTGACCAGAGCAGAATACAGTGGCACTATTACTTCCCTTGATCTAGATGCTATACTCCTATTGATGCAGCCCAGAGTTGCATTGGCTTTTTAGCTGCCGCGTCACACTGTTGGCTCATGTCAAGTTTGTGGTCAACCAAGACTCCTAGATCCTTTTCACATGTACTGCTCTCAAGCCAGGTGTCCCCCATCTTGTATTTGTGCCTCTCATTTTTTTGCCCAAGTGCAATACTTTACATTTCTCCCTGTTAAAATTCATCTTGTTTGTTTTGGCCCAGTTCTCTAATCTGTCAAGGTTGTTTTGAAGTGTGATCCTGTCCTCTGGGGTGTTGGCCACCCCTCCCAATTTGGTGTCATCTGCAAATTTGATCAGGATGCCCTTGAGACCATCATCCAAGTCATTGATAAAGATGTTGAATAAGACCGGGCCCAAGACAGAACCCTCTGGCACTCCACTAATCACTCTTCTCCAGGATGAAGAGGAACCATTGATGAGCACCTTTTGGGTTTGGTCAGTCAGCCAGTTACAAATCCACTGAGTGGTAGCATAGTCAAGACCGCATTTTACCAGCTTCTTTACAAGAATATCATGGGGCACCTTGTCAAATGCCTTGCTGAAATCAAGGTAGGCTACATCCACTGCGTTCCCTTCATCTACCAAGTGATTCTCTTAAGTGATCCAAGAAAATAAAGATAAAGATAAAGATAGGTAAAGGGGCTCTCTCATTCACCATCACCCTGCCCGACAAGATCACTTAAACATAATAAGGGTGATTAGTGTCCTTGAGTTTAGGAGAACCTTGAATGGATGGGCCAGATTAGTGGTGTTTGGGAGCAGAAGATGCCTGATCTGGTTATAGCGCTGGTATTCCAGGTGGAACGGTGCAGACCCCATCTGGCTCAAACACAGATTTTATGGTGACGGCTATGTACACATGGCTATGTATACAGCCTTGGCCCAGTATACCTGAAGGAGCGTCTCCACCCCCATTGTTCAGTCCAGATACTGAAGTCCAGCTCCGAGGGCCTTCTGGCGGTTCCCTCCATGAGAGAAGTGAGGATACAGGGAACAAGGCAGAGGGCCTTCTTGGTAGTGGTGCCTGCCCTGTGGAACGCCCTTCCATCAGAAGTCAAGGAAATAAACAACTATCTGACTTTTAGAAGACATCTGAGGGCAGCCTTGTTTAGGGAAGTTTTAAATGTTTGACGTTTTATTGTGCTTTTAATTTTCTGTTGGGAGCCGCCCATAGTGGCTGGGGAAACCCAGCCAGATGGGCGGGGTATAAATAATCAATTATTATTATAATATTACTATTACACAGCTCTGAAAGCTGGCTTGTAAGAACATACATGCAACACCTGCTTACAGACTGGTAGAACAGATTGTAAATCCATTTGTAGGAATCTTTACGCTGCATTTCATCCTCACCTTCCTTCCATCTTCGCAATCCAAGGGGGAATACATCAGGTCTCCCAACCAGACACTGGCCAGCCCCGGGATCTGCTTAGCTTCAGCAAGTTGGCTGCATTATGTGCCCTCAGACCACACCCCAGGATTATGCAGGGAGTGGTACAAGATGGCATGGATTTGTCCCGAACAAATCTTGCCAGATTAATCATTCTCATCCATTCAGTATATACTAGCTTAGTAGACTGTAGGAATGCTATACAATTTATCTTGATTTCAGCAAAGCATCTGACAGAGTTTCCCATGATATTTTAGTTAGCACCCTGGTTAATTATGGGCTAGATAATAATACTAGATATGGCTAGTAATACTAATGGCTAGATAATAAACAGCTGGCTGGAAAAACATACTTCAAGAGTGCTCATAAATGGCTTCTCATAAGATTGGAGGGGAGGATTTTAGTGGAGTGTCCCAGGGCTCTGGTATTGGGTCTGGTACTCTTCAAATTCTTATCAAAGACTTAGACGGACATAGGGAGGGAATCTTTATCAAATCTGTGAATGACACAAAACTAGGAGAGATACCTAACACACAGGAAAACAATCAAAATAACCTTGACATAACTGAAAACTTGATTGAAACAGGGAAAAAAAATGAAATTCATCAGAGGCAAATGCAAAGTTATGGATGTAGGCAATTTCTTAAAAATAAGAATGCACTGGGCATTCTGTACAATCCCATGGCTATTTGCAAATTGTTTGCCGTTATTTAACCTGCATTTCTTTGTTATTGTTTAGCTGTTAAGTTGTTGATATTATCTAGTATTGCAGTACTATATGTGAAATGGATTCCTGAATTTTGTTATACTTGGAGTTGTTATATAGGATGATAATGTGACTTCTGTTGTATATTTGAGTAGTAAAGCACCTTGAGTACTGTAATGCAGAATGTTATACAAATTGAAAATGAGCTGAAAACAAGCTGAACTGCACAGTACAGGTTTTGAAACAGATCTTGGAATAGTAGTTGAACCTAAGCTGAACACAAGTGGTGCAGCTGCAGAAAATTTGAATGTGATTTTAGGTTGCATGATTAATAGAACCATAGTTTTGAAGTCGTGAGAACTAACCAACCCCATTATCCTACACTAGTCAGAACTCATCTGAACTAGCCCAGTTCTGGGCACCACATTTTCCGCAGGTTGTTGGGAAATTTGCTCAGAGGAGGCCACTGATGAGAGTCAAGGGAAAGCAAGTGCTATGAGGAAAGGCTGAAGGAACTAAGAGTGTTCATCTTGAAGAAGAGAAAACAGAGGGCCCTTGTCACTTACAGGCAAGGTTGTAACAGAGAAGAGGGCAAGGACTCTGCTGCCCCAGATCTAATGGACTTAAGTTACAGGAAGATAGTTTTTGGTTGAGCATGAGGAAAAACATCTCAATGGTAAGAACAGTTTGATAATGGAACCAATTACATGGTGGGGTGTTGAGCTCTTCCTCTCTCCAGGTCTTCAAGCAGAGGTCAGACATACATCGGTTGAGGATATGCCAGGTCTGGATCTCCTACACTGAGTAGGGGATTGAAAGGTGGGACGTCCAATAGCACCTCAAAGTCTTATGATTCTATGCTTGCATCTGGAGGCTCTTATCTAGCAAGAGATACAAACATAGAACCCGGCTTGTATATTCACATGGCTCCTCTCTAGGAACATGGGAAGCCGCCTTAGATCAAGCCAGATCAATGGTCCATCTAGTTCAGTACAGTCTGCACTGATTGGCAGCAGCTCTCCAGGGCTTCAGGCAAGGAATCATTCCCAACCCTACCTGAAGAAGCCAAGGACTGAATCTGGGACCTTCTACATGCAAATCTGATGCTCTACCACTGAGTTGTTCAGAACAGTTAGGTACAACCCATAGAGACCTTCTCCATGCAAACTTCCTTGAAATTTGTGAGAGCTACACAAGATAAGTCCCTTGTGTACTCTTCTGGCTGATAATTTTGCAGACTCTTTGAGTATGACTGCTTTAATGATTGCAATAACATTTTATGAACATTAATGCATCTGTTTATTTGGATTTTATACAGTAACAGGGTGGGATTGCCCACTGCCTCCCTAAAGGACTGAAATCCCACCCTGTTTAATGTTAACTTGCCATATTGGTGCTGCTCACATTTGTTTTCACATGTGTCAGAGCTGGCTCCAGGTCCCAGCTCACAGAGGACCAACGCTAGCCGGCAGTAATGTACAAAAGTCTTTATTGAAGTACAGTTTCCATTTTCAAGCCGCAGCGCCCTAGCTCTACGTCTAGGGGTTAGATCGGCGAAGCTCCATCTGAGTCTCCGCCCCTGTACACCAGTTTAAGATTCTAGCCTTACTCCACCTCTTACGTCTCTCCTTTCTCCTCTGGGTCCTGCTACCCCCGGGTCCCTTCCTTCCTGGATTCTTCTGACGCTGACCCCCTGACTCCTCCCCTCTTTTCGGCGGGCTTTGGGACCTGGCTCCCTATCCGGGCTGCCAACTGCGCCGCCCTCCTGTACATTTGAACCTGGCGCGCGCCCAGCCTTCAACCTTCCTCTCGACCGTTTCCTCGCTCCCCGATGGAGGCGTGGCCAATCCTGACTCATGTCCTCCCACTGGCAGTGCGCCGCCTGATCCCGATGCCTGGGACCCCTCCCCTACTGCACTCTGGTGTGGACGCTGGTCCTGATTTCCAACTGCTGCTCTCTGAGTCCCCTCTGGCCCCTTCTTCCTGGGGTGTCCCCTCGGCACCCCCTTGCTCTGACCAAGGGAGCCCTTTCTGTGAATCTTCCGATTCGCTGGAAAGACTCAGAGACCTCGGACCGCTGTCATCGCTAACATTTCCTTCGGACTCCTCCCCCTCGCTCTCTATTTCCTCCCTTTCCTGTGCCTCTGCTCCTGAACCCCTGACAACATGTTAAGTATTCAGATTCGTCTGACACCTCATTACTTTGGAGCAAAAGGCACACAATTAACTCAAAATGACATTTTCTTATAGTTGCCCTCCAATGACCTCTTCCTGCAAGATGTTTGCAAGCAAAGATACATATCACAGCCAGTGGTCATAGACCAGGATAAATATTTTCTGCTGTGCGAAGACTGTCTGGCAGCTTACCAAGAATTTTGCATAGGAATGCAGCTGGGTTAGAGATCCTAAGCTAATAAATTTCAGCCAACAGACTGAAACATCCCATTTTAGTACTGTGGCTAATCCTAGCGACCCACCCCTCTGCCTACACACTCACACAATTTTAATCTTAATTATGCTAACAGGGACATCTTCAAAGTGGCTGCTTCTAGGGGACATGATCCCAAGTTACCATTTTGTAAGTAAAGTCATCAGGTTGTCTCCAATGATAGCCAAACTCAGAGAAGTCCTATTGACAGGTATGGACGTGACTCACTTAGGTCCAGGGACACTTAGTGTCTACTCTGAGTAAAAATTCAGCTGGATGCAACTCATCATCATTATACCTCTAAAGGGCAGTGGACTTTTGAACCTTGTGCAGTTGCAAATGGAGACAGGTGTGGTGGGTGAAGTGAGGCTCACCTGACCTTTTGACAGCTGAGGTGAGCACCTATGCTATAACCATTCTAGGGGCTTTTGGCTGGTACAGGATTCCTACAGGTTTTTCACAATCTAGGATGTCAAAATGTTGACAGTAAGGTGTTGCAAACTTACACTTCTTTCTAACATATTAGGAGTTTGCTGTAGTAGTAGTAATAATAATAATAATAATAATACCAGCATGAGTTTGACCAAACTGCGGGAGGCAGTGGAAGACAGGAGTGCCTGGCATGCTCTGGTCCATGGCGTCACGAAGAGTTGGACACGACTAAATGACTAAACGACTAAACAACAACAAATAATAATAATAATAATACAGCAAATGCCTAATATGTTAGAAAGAAATGTAATAATAAAAAATTGTTGTTGTTGTTTCTTGGCCCAGCCACTCTGGGCAGCAATGTATTGTTACAGATCTGAGGTAACAGCGTTTGGAGGTGCAAGGGCACCCATCAATGCTAGAATTAGTGAATGTTATAAATTAATACATGGTGGAATTTAGATAATATTTGGAGTCTTGAAGTGAAGATGCCAGACCAGTGAAAAATACAGGCTAAGCTTCTTTTCAGCGTCAGGACCTCACCTGGGATAGAACTCGTTAAGAATGATGAAAAGTGCTGGAAGTAAGTCACTAACCCAACAGTGGAAACCATCAGGCAGGCAGGAGGTCCTGCCAGTGAGGGGAGGAGGTTGCCAAGGCGATGAGGGAAATGATGTCACACAGGGAAAGCCATTGTCCTTTTTTTTAAAAAATAGAGGTCTGGATAACAGGGGTGGTGGTGATGGTGAGCAGACAGATGGGGAGGCGATGCTTTGAGCAGGGGTTCTTGGAAAGGAGAAAGGTAAATGAGGAGTAGCCCATGAGCTGCTGTGAAGGCCAGAACCATCTTGGCAGGCTGGGAGAGAGGCACAGAGATGTCTGAGAATCCAGTGCTGGGCTCCTCCAGAGATGTGAACGCTGTGAAATCGCCCTCCATTGAAAGCATCTGGTGTAAGTATGGGTAAATAAATCATATTTCAAAGACACTGCAGACTCTGCCTTGCTTCATTTTCCCAAAGGGAACATGGACCCTGGTTGAGTGCCAAAAGCTCTTGGGATCTCATGCACCCGTAACACAGTGTTTCTATACTTGCCCCTGCCAGTACATGGAATGGAAATTTCAGCTGAGAATAAGGTTCTTTCAGGTTAAGGACTCTTCTGACCTCTCTGCTAACTCTGGGTTGCCAGGTTTCAAGTGCACTGAGCCAGGGGTAGTGATAAATATTCAGTAGTAGATGGCAATGGAAAGTCGGCTTCTTTTCATGTTTTGCATGGTTTAGGAGCTTGGAAAGCTCGCTTTGTAATTCCTTCCAGCTAATAGCATTCTTATTCTATCTTTTCCCAGCTTCTTGAGAGTGTCATTTGATTCAAATTATAAGCATTCTGCAGAGAATTCAAATCTCAGAGAGGGAGAGAGACCCGTGTTTCCAAGCTCTTGCTGAAATACTCTCCACACTTACGCAAGCTTGAAATCTTCTGGATTCTCAGCAGACTAATGTGTGTAGCTGTATGCACCATCACAGCCCTTGGATAGGATAATATGCTTGAAATGCTGGCACAGGTCTCTGTGCCAAGCACTTGATCCTGCTCTGACATACCTGATGCATGTACTTGCCACTTCTGAGATCACAAATGTTGTTGTTTAGTCATTTAGTCATGTCTGACTCTTCGTGACCCCGTGGACCAGAGCACGCCAGGCACTTCTGTCTTCCACTGCCTCCTGCAGTTTGGTCAAACTCATGTTTGTAGCTTCGAGAACACTGTCCAACCATCTCGTCCTCTGTCGTCCCCTTCTCCTTGTGCCCTCCATCTTTCCCAACATCAGGGTCTTTTCCAGGGAGTCTTCTCTTCCCATGAGGTGGCCAAAGTATTGGAGCCTCAGCTTCACGATCTGTCCTTCCAGTGAGCACTCAGGGCTGATTTCCTTAAGAATGGAGAGGTTTGATCTTCTTGCAGTCCATGGGACTCTCAAGAGTCTCCTCCAGCACCATAATTCAAAAGCATCAATTATTCGGCGATCAGCCTTCTTTATGGTCCAGCTCTCACTTCCATACATCACTACTGGGAAAACCATAGCTTTAACTATACGGACCTTTGTTGGCAAGGTAGATCACAAATAAGAACAATCTAAAAGGGTTTGCTGAGTTCACATTAATGCTCATTTATGAAGGTATGTGTCCTTGCTTCTGAGCCTCTGGGGAAGGGCTGCAACTCAGTGGTTGAGCATCTCCATTCCACGGAGAAGGTCCCAGGTTCAATCCTGGGCCTCTCCAGGTAGGGCTGGGAAAGACTCCCTTCCTGAAATCTGGGAGAGCTGCTGCCAGTCCGTGTAGACAACACTGAGCTAGATGGTCAGTATAAGGCAGCTTCCTGTGTTCCCATGTTGCAAGTTCTTATATTTTCCAGTGGTGCAGTGGAAGAGAAACGCAGGGAAGTGCTGCGTCAGAGCAGGAGCAATGACCTCCTCCATCAAAGTGACTGATGGACCTTCTGGCAAGGGAATGAAGGGATAATGAGGCTTTTGAGTTTTGCAGCTTGTAGCCGTTTAGCATAGATGAAGTCAGAGAATGAGGAAAATAATCCAGCAGAGCCGTAAGAGCGGTGGACTCGTAATCTGGGGAACTGGGTTTGCGTCTCCGCTCCTCCATGTGCAGCTGCTGGGTGACCTTGGGCTAGTCACACTTCTCTGAAGTCTCTCAGCCCCACTCACCTCACAGAGTGTTTGTTGTGGGGGAGGAAGGGAAAGGAGAATGTTAGCTTTGAGACTCCTTCGGGTAGTGATAAATCCAAACTCCTCCTCTTCTTCTTCTTTCCCTTGATGGGGTTTGCTACTTCATGCTACAATGCTCACACTTCTCAGCAATATGGTTTGCATTTTATTTATTTATTATTATTAAAAGGTGCAAGTTGCATTTTAGCTGGATGCAGGTCTTTTGCTAGCTCAATGTGTTTTCCAAGTAAATCTATGCAGTCAGGAGTAAGCACCATTGAGTTTAATGAAGCTTACTTCCAGGAAACCATGCACAGGATTGCAGTCACATTGTAAGCAATAGTAAAACTTGAAATTTTGCATTTAATCTAGCTAGGAAGTTAAAGGAACACACAGGCTATATAGGTTGTCATGATGAGCTCCTGCACTTCAAAGATTACCACTATGCCATTGATATATATGGGGCACATGACATGTTCAGAGGATGCAGATATATAAAGTGTGGAAATGATTTTGCATCTTACACTTCTTAGGAATCTGAGACAGAGTGAAATTCCCAGCTGTCAGGAGGGCATCTCTCAGTAGCTTCCATTGATGGAAGAATTTGATTAGCTTCTCAACCTGCAGCATTAGCACATGGCCTGGGCAGGTGTGCAGCTGAATGCATGCTGAATACTTATGCTTGTGATGCCTATTGGTCAGTGATGCCTTCCAAAAGTTTTCAGAGTACAGTGGTACCTCGGGGTAAGTACTTAATTCATTCTGGAGGTCCATTCTTAACCTGAAACTGTTCTTAACCTGAAACACCACTCTAGCTAATGGGGTCTCCTGCTGCCGCTGCGCAGCTGGAGCCCGATTTCTGTTCTCATCCTGAAGCAAAGTTCTTAACCCGAGGTACTATTTCTGGGTTAGCGGAGTCTGTAACCTGAAGCGTATGTAACCTGAAGCGTATGTAACCCGAGGTACCACCATACTATCAACTGTAGCCAGCATGGCTAACAGTTGCAGATGATGGAAATTGTAGTCCAGCAAAATCCCGATCACACACATTGACTTGTTGTCGTTTGAGGCTGCAACCTGCTCTGCTATTAAGCCACCATGCCTCCCAGTATTTTATTGCCTTACAGAATCCTCTGGCATGGGCGTAACCAGGATTTTTGTTGGGGGTGGGGGCAGAACCTCAGTTTGCTATGTATTTTTATTGATTTTTATCCCCCTCGCTCCTGGCTACGTCCATGCCCTCTGGGATTACGTTAGTGATTTGTTATAGAAATCAAAAGTACATTCTGTGGCGTTTGGCCCAGTCAACAGGGGATTCCTCCCCCCCAAAAAAACATACACCTTAATGATAAAAAGCAGCATGTGTTTTCAGTCAGATGTATTTTATGGCGTGCTGTAAAATTTACCCACCGCAGTTCTGCATTGTGTCACAGACAATAATGGAGCTGCCTTTTACAATGTCGTTGTATTTCATTTTTGGATGTATACGGTAAAGGGCTGCCATGGCCACATTCAAGTGACATCTTTAAACCATTGCACAAAACTGAGTGCCGTATTTTTCCGTCTATAAGATGCCCCCATGTATAAGACGCCCCTATTTTGGGGACTCAGATTTAAGAAAATGTGGGGAGATGGCCCTGTGTATAAGACTCCCCCTAATTTTTGACGTTATTTTTTAAGGGGAAAAAACCTAGTCTTATACATGGAAAAATATGGTAATTCATGTATTTTTTTCATGGAGAAAGTTTCATCCTTTAAACCAGGGGTGACCAATGGCCAGGGATGGTGGGCGTTGTCAGAAGTGAGACCAGTGGGGAGGGGAGCTTGTGGCAGCTGGAGGGGGAGGCACGCCTCTTCACCAGCCTGAATCATCTCTGCCTCTTGGCCTCCCTCCCCCAACTTTGGCTTCTGCCTCTGATTTTGCCTCTCTGCTTCAGACTCTCCCAGCTCACTAAGCCCTGTTACCTGTTCTGCTTCTGCCCCCTCCTCCTCCCAGTCTTCTTCCCCTTCTTCCTCTAACCACTCATCAATGTCCCATCACCATTCCCTCAGCTTTCAGCCTTCTTTCAATGGAGGTTCCTCAGCCAGTTCCTCCCACCACTCCTCTGCATCCAACCAGTCCATGACAGGCATTTTAGTTCAGTGACATCTGGAGGGCTATATTTTTCCCATGCCCGTTTTAAGCATTTAACGATAGGATTGAATTTGTGCTTGGTTCCGTGGCAAGCATAAGGTCCCTGCGTCTACAGGACATGGATGACTTCATCATACAAACTGTCCTTACAGGCAAAGACATCCTGGGAAGTTTAAAGGGCTCTCTTAATCTTCCCTTCCAGGACAGAGGAAGCCTCTATACACCAAATTCACAGGAACAAACCCATGAAAGGAGACCCTGCAAAGGAACATGTCAGATTTGCAGCCTGAGATAATCTGAAAGATGAACGTCTATCTCATTTAGGGTGGCAACCTATGCATTGTTGATGAAAAGGAAATGCAACACACACATTAAAAAAAACCCAAAAACTGGGCAAAAAGAGGACACAGGTTTGCATAAGATTTGCATATGAAAATGTATATGAACCGATGCAAATTTAGAAATCATTACTATTTTTTTTTTAAAAATAGAAATACATCTCACAGCAGTGTGGAAGACTCTCCAGGTGACTTGTATACCTGCATAGCTGTCAACTTTCCCCCTTTTTAAAGGGAAATTCCCTTATTCCGAATAGGATTCCTTGCAAGAAAAGGGAAAAGTTGACAGCTATGTATACCTGCTCAGTCTGTTAATGAGCAACCTCAAGGCCCCTGTGCTCCCTTCTTAGGGTTCATTATCTTTAAAACAGCTTGGATTCTTCAGCATTTGAAACAGAGAGCTGTCCTCTGATAGACCTCTATAGTCTGCTCTTTGGAAGATTGTCCACTCTGAATCTGGTCCCCTCTAAAGTAAGACGGTTGGCTGCGTTAGTTCTACCAGCTGTAGCCTTAAAGGGAGAGGGAGCAGGGAGGGGATTAAATCCTGCCTCCCCCATTTCATCTCCTCAATAACTGATAGATTATTTTGCAGTGCCTGTGTACTCTGAGCATTGGATCAGAGGAGCATAACAGAGAGTCATGCTCTTATGAACACCCTGTTCCCCACATTTATCTGCTGCTGAGAGGCTGGAAGCACCGTCACATCAGAAGTTACCTGACTAGTGTGACTTAAGGCTGAAGCTGATTATCATAAAATGCAGGATGAATACCATAACACACAGGCTCGTACCATCTGCATTTTGAGACAGACAGTCTAAGTTCATGTAAAAAGGAACCGCTTCTTGGACTCAATGTTTCTGATCAATTTTCCTTTGTTTATGTTACCAATGACGGATTATAATGGAACTGCAGATGTGGGTAACATGGGGAAAAAATACATAAAACTTAACATTGATATATTTCCAGCTCCTTGTCAGACGTCAAAGGGATTTTTTGAAAAATGGAGTGAGGAATTTATAGATGCAGTTGCATTTGCAGATATATAAAAAGAATTCCAATCGTTTTCAGAATGAAAAGGAACTCGTGAAGCTATTGTTTTGAAAAGGAGAAAAGTGTAAGATAGGCAAAGTAGCAAGTTCAGAGGACACATATATGCACTTTTCTGTCTCAGCACAAAATGTTATTTAATATTTAAAAGCAGGGTTCTCACCTTTAGCCACACCATGGTTAATTGCATACACCTCTGTCCCTTGCATGAAATTTTCACAGCTGCTGCACATTGATCTCAGGTTCTCAGTGAGCTATTCAGCACAACTTCAAGATATTGCTCCTAGTTAATCACTGCTAGTTTAGACCCCATCTATGTAAACGGGATGTTAGAATTTTACTGACCCAGTCACTTTGCACATAATTATATTGGGGCATGCTTGCTATTTCGTTGCCCAGCCACCTAGACTGGAGAGATTCTTTTAAAGCTCTCTGCAGATACAGTGGTACCTCGGGTTAAGTACTTAATTCGTTCCAGAGGTCCGTTCTTAACCTGAAACTGTTCTTAACCTGAAGCACCACTTTAGCTAATGAGGCCTTCCGCTGCCACCGCGCCGGAGCACGATTTCTGTTCTCATCCTGAAGCAAAGTTCTTAACCCGAGGTAATATTTCTGGGTTAGCGGAGTCTGTAACCTGAAGCGTATGTAACCTGAAGCGTATGTAACCTGAGGTACCACTGTAATTTGGCCTTCTCTGCTAACTTGGCTACACCTTCCCATTCCTAACCTCAAATGATTTATGAACAAGTCAGGATACATTGGTCCTATTCAGAGATGTGCGTCCGGACAAAGTTTGAATATCAAACTGAACCAGGCCATTTAGGAGTTATTCAGACCTCCTCCAAAGTGAAACAGGCCTTGTTCAAAGTGAAGGGGGCTTGCGGACCTTCTGCTATTCCTCAGATGAAAACAGGGACATTTTTCACTCCTCCCCCAACTAACCCTTCTTAACTCCCCCATTTTTGTTCCCCTTCACAGAGCATTTCTTATCAGAAGAAGGGCAAGTGCTGCAACAACCACACCAATGAGACACAACATACATGCCTTCCACCATCCTGAGAAAACCCCTGAATCCCGATTTTATTTTATTATTTGGTAGATTTATGAAAGACTGTTTTACACACACACACACACACACACACACACACACACACACACTACATTAGTCTATGGTTCCAGGTTTCAATAAAGCTCCATCCTTTCTATCAAGGATGAGGCAGGAGTGTGGCAAAGCCTGTTGTTCCCAAATGAAAGCTAAGTTCTTCTTCACCAAACCAGCTTTAAAGGTGCTACTAAAAACAATAAAACAAAAACCCTGCGCCTATCTCAGACAATTTGGCAGCTTTCACCCCCTTGGCAAGGACTATGATGCCTGTAAACTTTTACCAGGTCTGCCAAGAAATAAGAACAGTTATAGCGATTTGTTCATGCCACCGTTATAGTCAACGGGGAGAGAGCTAAACGTTCAGAAAACCAAGGTGACGGTCAACCTCAGATTTAAAGTGAAATGGGTCTTGTCTATTTAGTCAGAGAACTGTGTCATAAACTGTGCCTGAGGCACCTTTGTGGTGAAAGAGGATCCCCTAAACTTCTCCCTCAGGGACTCAAGTTCACCCGGTGAGCTAACTTCATACCTGAGCAGGGATTTGAACTCTGGTCTCCCAGGTCCTAGCCGAACACTTCAATCACTTCACACCATCACTCTACCCAATTGCTTAAAATAAATGCAGGTATTGAACTAGCAGAACTTTGTATTTGCTTGATGCTTTGTAGATAGATTGGTTAGCGATGAAGACTTTAGGAAACCTCACCAGCAGCTATACTGGTATCTTGCAAACTATCTCAATAAATTACCTGTGTTGTTTAGTTGCATAAGATACTGTTCATGTGTGCAATTAGCACTGCCCTTCCTCTCAACGCAGCCAGGAAGGGTTGTGTAGACCACTTCTTTGCCTCTTTCACTTTGTTAGATTAGGTATGCTGGCAGAATCAAACATCCTTTGGAAGTCAGTTTGCAGCTGCTACTCTTTGGCTGGAATCTGCTGAGTCACTATGATTTGCATCACTATTTCCCACTGTACATCTTTCAAATTGTTTGGAGCACCATTCATTTCAATGGAATTTAAGATCATAGGAAGCTGCCTTATACTGAGTCAGTATGAGGGCTTCAGATGGCAGCTTCTCCCATCCCTACCTGGAGATGCTGGTGGTTGACCCTGAGACTATTGGCATGCAAAGCTCTTGCCAGCTATTGACCCACTACCTATATGTTGAATTATGAGATCATTCCTCCCCCAACAAACTTAAGAGTTGCAGTTAACTTTGATAACAATTTTAAATTATTTCCACTTTAATACCAATGTCAATGTATATATATATACTTATGGAAACATACCATGAAAGCATATCCACTTGCTATATATTTTTATTACCTTGATTTTGCTGGAGGCTACTGAAAAAGAAATTTGCACCTAGTGCAGATTGTTGGCTGTAAACATATGTTCTCCCACATCACTAGAATGTATAAATCTAAAGCTGAAAGAAAGAGTTACTAAGTTAATAAATCTTTGCATCTCCCCACAATTCGAAAACCTTTTAAAAGTTGCTTTGCCAAATAGAACATGGACTGTAAAACAACAGGATGAAAGGCAAGAGTTCGCTTGCTCAAAAATTCTGCTCTGGAAGTAGTTAGCAATGGAAATGATGCTTGGTGTACAACAGGCTTCCTCAACCCCGGCCCCCCAGATGTTTTGAGACTACAATTCCCATCATCCCGGTCCTGCTAGCTAGGGATCATGGGAGTTGTAGGACAAAAACATCTGGAGGGCCAAGGTTGAGGAAGCCTGGCCTACAATGTTTGTCCCAGTGAGGGGCACAAACATTGCTTATTCTGTCTGGCATTTTTCATTCATTGGTTTGGTCTTTGCATTCAAATCCAGTAAAAGAGCCATGGCTGTTGGTGACACAGGACCCACTGACAAAACCCCTGAGGACCTGCTCCACCATTGCAACCAGCTTGTTTGTTCATCCACCTCTTGCTCTGGCCCAGGCAACAGTGGCAGTGAAGAGGAGAAGCACCTGTTTGGTCATTGACTCTCTGCCCAATAAGCAAGTCAGAGGTAGCAATGATGAGGAAGAGGATTGGCCACAGGTGGAGTGAGGAAGTAGACTGACTGATGGAGTGAGGCCCATAGAAGGTGGTCTTTCCCAAGGCCCTCCAAAATAAACAACAACAACAACATATTTATACCCCGCCCATCTGGCTGGGTTTCCCCAGCCACTCTGGGCAGCTTCCAACAAAATATTAAAAAACAATAGTCTACTAAACATTAAAAGCTTCCCTAAACAACCAGTACAACCAGTACTGTCAGGCATAGACAATATGGGGGAATCTGTTTCCTGCTCTTCTAGATTTCTGTTGGCAGCCACAGGTTTGTTTGTTTTTGCTTTTAGAGAACTGCGACCTCACCAGGGGTTGGAGCACTTTCACCTTAGGCTGTGGCTCAGGGGTAGAACATCTGTGTTGAATAGTGAAGGTTCCAGATTCAGTCCTTGGTGTCTCCAGATGGGGTTTGTTTGAAACCCCGGGGAGCATTGCCAGCCAGTATACATAGCACTGTCCCATGATGGAACTCCTGTGATGCCATTATGCTGGCTGCTTACCCTCCAAAAAGAAAGGAAAGGCATCACCAAAAATAAATAAAATAGAGACAGTAGGATACAGATTTGCCTAAAATGTGCATTTGCTAAAGTATATTTACAGATGCAAATTTAGGTAATTATTAAATGTATATAGAAACACGCTACACCTTAAAACTGTGAGATGGCTGAGACCAGGGTTCTTCTGCCTGCCCACGACATTGCAAATGAAATGTTATATCAATAATAAGGCGTTCTTCATGTTTAATTTTTCTATGCAGCTATATGAGGGCACCTGAAACTCGCTAAATGCACTGATGTCTCTGCTTTAATGCTTTTGCACTGGGTGGGATTGTGTATATTGCTACCATATGCATGGTGGAACCTTTATAAAACACAGAACTGGGGGTAAGGGAGCCCCCCACCCCAGCATTCTTTACATTTTGAAAATGACAGCCGTTGCTCTGAGCTTTCAGATTCTATTTTTTATTACCGCATTATATTTTCATTATGATTTTGATTGGAGCAAGCAGGTTTGAGTTTCTGAGCGCTGAATGTCAGGCACATGCACACACAAAATTCCCTACCAAAGCAATCTCAAATCCAGAAGCTACATGTCATTTGGGTTTTTCCAAATACTTTGGAAAGAGAAAAATACTAAAATGTGGTTTGGAAAAAGGAATGTTTTTTAAGTTCAGCTGCAGAGTCAAGGAAAATACATTTTATTTAAATGCACCTCTTTCTGGGTTATTTATATATCTGTAAATCATTCTATGAGGAGATTTGTTTTGTTTTCATGGCTACAGATGGGTCTTCTTGCTGTCTCTGCATTCACATCTCTTACTAAAGATGACAGCAATGCCAGGGTGTGTGAAGAAATCTTGTGTTCTTCATGTGAAATATATCTCATAATAAGTTCTTCTCTAGGATATACTTTTCCTAAAAACAATGACGATGTTCGCAAGTAATGATAAGTCAGACTTTCTGGCTTACAATGAACGACCAGCATGCTGCTGCATGTTGACTGGAGACTGTAACACTTTACCTCTGGTGTGGACAGGATCAAAGCAAAACAAAACAAGAAAGCCTTGACTTCCCTTCAGGTCTGAACCAGAGATCATGGCTTCTTGCTCTTTCACAAGCCATGATCAGTAAGCCAACAACAATCTATGCCTTAGGACTGCCTAGGCAACAGATCATGACTTAAGGTTGGCTAGTCAACAAACCATGGCTTGTTAGGAGCAATAAACCACCACGCCTGGTTTGGATGTAATTGGAAGGTTTTCTGGTTTGCTTGAGGAGGCAGGAGTGATCAAGCAGCATGCAAAAGCGTGCTTTCTGTTCACAAAAATGCCTACAATAAGTCAGAAAGTCTGGCTTAGCATTATGGGCAAATGCAGCATTGTGGTTCGGGTGCTGAGCAAAAACACCTGAAGCTTTTGTGAGGGAAGAATTTGAGGAGAAAACATTCCACGATTGAGCAGTTATTGAACTATTCGCACCAATAGTCAGGAAAGACCCAGAGAGTTTGGGTTACAGGAACTGCCATCAAATCGAAACACACCCACCCCTCCCTTATATACCCACAGTAACTGAAGTTATTAATTTCATTTTCTCTCTCTCAACCCAGAGTCCTCTTGTTTCGAGCATCCACAATATCTTCAGAATATCCACTATATATTCAGAATGTTTCCCTCAGTCAAGATGGTTGCTATTCAGTAATTCTCAATGGTAAGAATGTAATGGCTTACTGAACACCTAATTGCAATTTATATAGCACTGCAACATGTGGGGATGTTTAGGATAATAGGCAAGGAAATATTTGTTAAGTATTACCCTTCCTTCACTCACTCTAGTGAGTGATGTAGCAGAGCAAATCCCCTCTATATTCATGGAAGCTAGTTGATTAGATTCGTTTGAATCTTTACAAGATGACCAATCCAATTTGGCTTGCCCAGATGGATTACTCCTGGTGTCCCCTTTTCTCCCTCTTAAAATACAATAAAGACTCAAGAGTCTGTCTTTAAAAGTATAACAATGTTTGCTCACAAGTTGTTCACAGTACACATCCTAGAAGGCAGGCATTAAGCTTCAGGTTACAAAGATATAACGTGGCTCACATCCTTTGTGCTGCTGGCTGAGAGCCAGAGACTTAACTGAACTGAATCGAACAGAGCTGAAATCGAACAGAAGGCAAAATGGCTGTGTGACTCTGCCTTTTATAGTCACTCATCTGCTGAGTCATTTGCAAGAGGGTCAGGAAGTTACATATTCCCCTGTCTCTGTCCACTCTAGGAAGTAAAGCTTGTTGTAATTGACTGTACCAATATAACACATCCCACACAACAGTGGCTTCACAATCCCAAGTAGTGAAGATCTTGGCTTTAGTCAGGTGTTAACCACATCTAAGGTGTTGCTTGGAGTGTGGCTGTGCTTTTAGCCCTGCCTTTTCTCAAACTGTATGTTGTCCATGGCTGTCTGAGGAGAAAACCCAGCACATGAGTTTTTATGAATGTCTGTAGTATCACATGGAGGCCCTAA